CACCAAACTTGTCCTCAGTGCCATCAATTTTTAAGAAGCATAAAATAGTTTTTCTTCTGTGGAGTATGAAATCCCAAGTTCCCATCCCTACCATTTCTGTTAGCACATTTTAACTTAGTTGGACCTGTGTCAATATAATTCTCAAATGGGAAGGTACTTTGTCATTCAGATGTAATTAGATAATATTGTTTTCTGGGTGTTGTCACAATGTCTACAGAGATATAGTACCAGAAAAATCTCTCCATTACAGAATTATCTCCTAGTTGTTAAATAGAAACTAACACCATACTTTTAGTTTGCAAACACCTACCTGGCATTTTGTAGTCTACACATTAGTCTACACAATTAATATTTCATTAGTTAGCTTTTGCATTTTAGTAAAATTGGTCAGAAATAACATTGCAGTATCATAGATATAGAACTAATACAGAGAATAATTGAGGTCTCAGAATAAATCCAGAATACAGCTACTATTAGAATCTATAGCTTCTGACAGGAATTTAGAAATTTTTGCATTTTTTGCTAAGATCTTTCATGAAACCTCTTGGAATTCTGAGTAAGTATCAAAATGAATATGTTGGGGGCTGGGGATTTAGCTTAGCGGCATAAGCACCTGCCTTGCTAGTGTGCGGTCGCGAGTTTGATCCCTGGTACCGATAAAAATGAAAAAGACAAAAAAAATGAATATGCTGATAAAGGTGGTAAGAATGACAAAATAATATCTACTTCAGTAAAATTTTCCTCAACTCTAGTCTGTTTCTACAACTTTTTCTATTTTGATGCCTCATTCCCAGTAACAGCTTCCAAAATATCTGGAAATCAAAGAAGGAAAGTAAAAGGTCATTTTCCCTAAGATCCATTTACAGAAGAACAGGAATCCAATGAGATTGAAATAGATGGGAACTACGTGTGTAAAGAATTGCTCAGAGAATATTATTTTCCCATTTCTACCTCACTTTCTTCTACTTACTGGCAGCAGTACTAGAAGTGTAATCCATTTGCAGTGTGCTTCAAGATCATTGTCATGGGTTCGCCTTGAGCAGCTAAACACAGGGGACCAATTCTTCCATTGCAGTTTTATGGCCAAAAAAGCAAGAGCAAAACGGTGGTTAAGTGACTGCCAGCAGCACTCACCATGGCAACTGCTCTGATTAGAACTTATAGCTCATATCAGTCAAATCCTGCTGAAATTTAAGTTGTAAAATATTGTTTGTCAGAGAAAGGTGACAATGCCTGAAGACAAATTTGCTTAGCATCTAAAAAGGGACTAGCTCTTCCTTCCACAGACCAACCTGGGTATTCTCATTTTCAAACTATTCCACAAACTTCCTCATCCCTCTGAGTGAAAGAAATTTCCTTTAATGAAATGGGTAGAACAGGCCAGGGATATAGCTCAGTCTTGCAGTACTGGTCTGGCAAGCACAAGGTCCTGAGTTTGAATCCTTGTACCAAAGAAGAAGGGGAAAAAAATAGGTGGAACCAAACAAGTGACTTCCCACATCCAGATTTTCATGGTTTTCTGTTTGTTTTGTACAGATATTAGCATGAGTTCTTGCACTAATAATAGGTCTCATTTTGACTGGCAGAATGTCAGGATAGCCCAAATTCAACATCATTAAGGGAACTGCCAAGCAAAGGAATATGACTTGTGTCCAAGGATATGCTTTTGCTGAAGACCAATTACAACAAAAGATGGTGTGGAAATATGAATGTGCTCTCTTTTCCATGTCATCCACTATACAACAGGATATAAGAGCTGTTACTTGTCCAGGGACCATGGATGAACATGTCTATATGAAACAAATGGAAAACCCTGGAAACCAGGATATGAAAGCCAGTTTAATTCTAACATACCACAAAAGAAAATTTCCTTTATTTCTTTCTCCTATCTAAGATAAACACAGTTACCAGCCAGTGCTTGGCTTCTATTACCAAAGTAATTTTTAAAATAATCATTAGTGTCTACGAAAAAAAAAAAAAAACTTTTACAGGTTGTGACTTTTCTGGTTGCATCCAGGAGTGTGGGAGAAAACTCAAGAAAATATATTTCTTCCACAAGAATTTCCTGGTAATTCCAGTCAAAAGTGATGTTTTAAAGGCAACTTTTAGTGGAGTGGTATGAAGAAGTTCATGACAGCAAACAGAAGAGTCCAATTTTTAAAAATGTGATCAAGTGGAGCTTTCCTGCTTGCTATAGTTTGGATCTTGAATGTCCTCTGTTGAAGGCTTGATCCCCAGCCTGTGGCACTATCAGGATATGGTAGAACCTTTAGGAAATGAGGCCTAGTGGAAGGCCCCGTGAAGGGGATACCAGGAAGCCAGTCTCTGCTCTTTCTCTGTGTCCTGGCTGCCATGAGGTAAACAGCTTTGTTCTATCCCTTGTTTCCACTGTGAGGAACTGTGCTGCCATGGGCAAAGAGATCAAGCAAAAATGGACTGAAACTTGTGAAACTGTGATCCAAAACAAACCTCTCTTCCTTAGGTTGACTTTCCTAGGCATTCTGTCAGAATGACAGAAAGCTAACATACTTCCAGGACCAGGTTTGGGAGCTGCTTTCTCCTAGGACTTCTTTACGATGGTCTAGAACCTCCAGCTCTGTTCTTATCTCCCTTCCAACCTGGGCAGAGATTTGATGTATATTCCATTCATGTTACCTATGTCTAATTCTTTGTAGACTGGCCATTCTTCTCAGTCTTCCACCAGTATAATACACTGAGTAAACCCTGTGATCAAACAACATGGTGTTTTTCCTCTGTACCAGTCCTGGAATTGAATAGGGTGGTCTTCCACACATCTATTAGCTCTTTGGTTCACTAGGCAATGAGGTGTTTCAGTGTGTGCAATTTAGGAATCACTGATCAGTTTTTCAGAGCCTGCTAAGGACTTTCCAGGCTTCTTGTCCTCCTGGCAGCCTGTCTATGGCCCTTTCCTCGTTGACTAGGAGTTGAAGAGATAGAATTGAAACTCAACTGAGGTTCATAGGGGCCATTTCACTGCTGTCCAGGCAAAAGTCAATTCTCTGCTTCCCTTTTTCCTGGTGACCTCATCAGGAAGTTCTCATGAGAGGTCAGCTATGATCTGAGACTCGATGGAGGCCAGCTAGCCACTAAAATAAACAGCTGCTACTCCATTGTGAATAGCTGCCTATGTTTTAGGACTTTTTGGATCTTAGACACAATGAATTAAAGAGCTGGGGGCTGGAAGCAAGAGGGAGGGTGAGATGTGTGGGTAAAGTGTCAAAGCACCAAGAAAGATGGCCTCTTTCCTGTTACATATTCTTGCATTTCAGCTAACATGGCTTGAATGCCTAATTATGGCAGGTGCACTGCCAGAAACTCAGAGGTCCTACTCACTGGAGCACATTTTAAGGTCTCAGTTGCAAAGTAAGAATATGAAGTCCTCTGCTTTTGATTCTACATTTACAGCTGTGTGTTTGCACGTGTGTTCTGCACTCAAGGTAAAGGCTTACAATTTGGCTGAAAAGCCCATCCTCCAAGAAAGCAGACAGCTCCAGTGACCTAGATAAGTGGGTGGGCAGAGTTCGTGGATCCATCTCCCAGAGCTCTTCGGTCTCTGTGATCCTAAGAACTCAGGCTCCTGCTAGCTTTGGCAACACATACCAAGAACCCAGGTTCCTAGTTTCTTCCTAGGATATTTCTGAGCTGGCTCCCTATCTCTAAGCCAGCCAGGTACTTCTGAAGCAGGAGACAACAAAAGCGCAGCGTGAGATAGATGTACCTCGCTCCGAGGCTTCTGCTCCACAAAAATGGTTAATTCTGGCCTTTCCAGAGTCTCAGAGGGCCCAGAACACAGCAGGAGAAGTAACCTCTGCGGGTGCCATTCCAAAGGGCAGCTGCCCCAGGAGGATCTCTCTGATTCTGGCGCCTTTGAGCCCAAGAACCTCCCATTTGCTCTGTTTTGAGCAAGTGCCTGGACTCCCTGAGTGGAGAAGAGGCAACCACGGCTTCTTACACGGTCCCTGAGACGGCAATGCGGAGGGGGCGAAAGTGAGAAGGGGAGGGGTGCAGAACTTTCCAGGCGGTCTGCGGCGCCACAGATTTGTTTTGGAGATCACCCTCCGATGGAGAACAGCACCTTTTCAGGGAGTCCAGCGCTCTCAGTCCTCGGTCCAGGCCTCCACCTGGGGTTGCAGGACCCGGCCTGGGACTCACCCTACTTGGGTCCTCAGTTTCCTCCGGCAGCTAGGGCTCCTTGGGGCAGCTGAGCTCTGAGACTCCTCCAGCCGCCCAGAACCTGTGGACCCGGTCTCTACGCGCGCCGCGGCTGGATGTCTCGCTCCATACCCCGCCGACACGCCAAGGCTCAGGCTTCGTGACGTCTCCCAGTCAGGGGCCTTCCCCTGCTCCATCCTCTGGAGGGGTCCACGTCCCATCATATCAGGTCCCCAAGCATCAGCCAGTGGCCTCCGCACTAGGCAGCTGCCGACTTCTCCGCAGCCCACCGCCCTCCTCAGCCCGCCCCCGGCCGAAAGCGATTGGACATTGGCTGCGGGGTGGGGCTCAGCGCTAAGCACTACCCGTAACCGCCCGGGGTCCTGGCGCAATCACAATTGGCTATGGGGCCCGCCCGTCATGGGCCGATGGACGCCCCGCCCTACGGGGGCCGGCCCGGGGCTGGCCCCGCCCCCCCCCGTGGCCGGCCCCGCCTCCCTCCGGAGCTGGTCGGCTCGGCTAGACGCTGCGCCTCAGTCGCGGCGCAGGTCCTGGAGTTGTCTGCACTCTGGGCGACTGCGGAGCCGGGGCGGCCGCCCGGCTTTCGCGGTGCTCCTCGAAGTGCCTGCTGAGCCAATGTACCCTAGTTCTGTGGGGCGTGAGCAGCCATCCGGGCGGGACAACTTGGGACCAGGGACCTACCGCACAGCGTTGGTTTGCGATCCGGAGCCGGCAGGAAGGGTGAGTGGCCTCTGGTCGCTGCCGCGCGGCCGGCGAACCGGGGCTCCGTGAGTCCGGCCTCGTCCGTCGGTCTGCCCGAGCGCGGCTGCTGCGGAGGTCGGGGTGGGCGGGAGGACGTAGGGCCGCTGTCGGGCTCCCTAACTTGTTTTCGGAGCGTCTCCGCGGGTCCGGGACGCGGCGCCGCGCACGCACCAACTTGGCGGACCCGCTGTCGTCGGCCCGGACGCGCCCCCGCCCTCTGGCGGGCGCCTCGGGTCCCAGGCGTCCCGGCCGGCGGCGTCCGCGTCTGACCCGGCCGAGCGCGCTCCGCGGCGGGGCGGAGGGACCAGCCGGCCCGGAGCGGGGTCTCCGTGGTTTGCTCGTTGAAAAGGCTGACAGCTCTGCCGGGGGTTAAAGTTTGTGAAGAAGTCCTGACTTTGCGTCAGCGCCGGGCCCTGCGCCGGTCCCTCCGTCTGCGTCTCCCGCGTCCGCCAGGAGTGGCCTGTCCCGGGGCTCCTTGCCGAGCCTGGCCGCCGCTCTCCCTACGGAGCTCCCGCCCGGGAATCCGAGGTGAGGCTGGCGGGACCGTGGCTAGGTCAGCGGGGCGTGTTTGAGCACCTGTGTGTTCAAGTGACGAAGTTGGGTTGAGGACTGAGAACAGAGGGCTCAAGGTTCCATCTGACGCTGCGTCTGTGGGTCTGTCTGGGTCAGATTGTTTTGGCTTTTTCTCTTAGTGGGAAAAGCAGCTCATTTCTGTGGGCAACTACATGCATGCAGTTTATATTATGCGTGGATAGAATTCAGTATAATATTATTTTGTTATTGACAGGAATGAAAGCTTATTGAGAGTACTAGACACAGACTTGGGTCTAGAACTTGGGAATATTTAGATATTTGAAAAATATAAAACGTCGATATATGTAGTTCTGTGTGTATGCATATGTGGATGTGCTATACGGATTGTACTATGTGTGTGCTTGTATGTGTAAAATTAATAGGTGAATGAGGTTGCAGTATGTGAAGGGCAACTCAGCCTTGAACTTCCTCTGGGCCCCTGGGATGAGCCTTCTAGCTGCAGGATGCATGGTGAGTGTGTATGCGTGAATGCACGCCTCTGCCGGTCTGGGTCAGTGTATGCCCATGAACTTTACGAGCAATCGGTTCAATACCACTCGATGCAGATTCTGCGTTCCTGTTTTACAGCCCAGCAGCCGCCAGCCCGCCCATCTGTTAAAACATAACATGTACGCTCCAGTCAACACTGAGATGGAGCGTGGATAGGGGCCACCTTTACAGAACTATCATGCTGCAAACAAAGCATGCTTCTCAAGTTCTATGTTCATTCATTTTCTGGCCAGAACTTGTGAGGAAGGTAGAATGCAATATTGTCTCTAGAAATGGCAAGTTGTGTTTTGTGAAATATTATAGCCATAATTGGGGGGGATGATAACAGAAAAAATAATCCCCATGTGGGAAAAATGTAGTGCTTGTCACATCACCATGCAACACTGGTTTACTGCTTTGCAGTAAGTAGTGTGTATACTAGAACTATTTTCCTTTGCTTCTTAAGAGAATGCATTGAAATTGAATTGTTTTGCACCAAAAACAAAACAAAAAACACTTCAGTAGAAGTAAACATAGCTTTATTGTAGAGCCTAAAATTAAGATTGCTTTAGTAATTCTCATGAAACATAGTTTTAGGAATTTATAACTTGGACATAAATTCATATTTAACCTAATTATTAATCATAATGGTTCACAATTTATAGATTAAAAATAATAAAAGATTCTGATGACTAAAAGGATATGGAGAAACAAAACAGCTTAATAAGTTCCTGTAGCCACATGACTGATAATTTTTTAAAAAAAAATTAATTCCTTTAATAGCATAATTACTTTGAGTGACAATAAAGGCAGTATTTTTGAGAAGCATATTTGACATTTTCACAATAATTTTGTGCTGGTAATTACATGTTAATAGTGATGTTCATTATATGTAAGTAGAAAAAATTGGAATGTTTTTTAAGAACTCATCATAAAAAGTATTTTTGCTTTTATGGTACATAAATATTTTTGGAAAATATGTGAATTCTTTTTATTTTAAAGAGACAATACAATCAATGATACAAAATTTCAAAACATCATAGGAGAGTAACCATGGTTAATACATTGTTATCTTCAAAGTAGGTGCTTAGATTACAAGATACAGGTGAAAAGTTGATCAAACAATATAAGCACAAATCTTTTCAGTGAACTAATGGACATTAGTCATATAATTATCTTAACTATTGCAGATTCTTAATATATGTGTGTCTAAATTTGTGATGAGTTCCATAGACACAGTAATTCTTTGACTTTGATAATCACTCTAGTCTACTGTGGTCTCTTTAAGAAATTCATTTCTTGAGCTAAACTCCAGTCCTAGGGATTCAATTCTGGGATCTAGGTAGGATTTAGGAAACTGCATTTTCAACAAGCATCCCTAAATTATTCTCATACCAGGGAACCATATTTCAAAAAATAATGGAGTGTTGTTTACATATAAAAGAACATAGGCTTTGAATTGATTCAACAAATACTTAATTTAGAAATTTCCAGGTGGCACTTAATGGCCTGTGAAATTTGTAAGTGCTGTAATGCATTGACTCTCTTTCCATAAAAATGGGCCCCTTTTGTCCTGTGTTTGGAGATGTTAAAGAATTCTTAGCTATTCCTATTCCAAGTTGGCCCCAATTTTAAGGAAGTCTTAGGTTAAGACCCTCCCTAACTTTGACCCCTTCACCACCTACTTCCAAAACTGTGGGCTCCTTAGAAGCTCTGAGATGACTTGGCCAACTGTAGTGTAGATGTTGGTCATTTTTCCCTGGAGAGTAGGAGAGAAGACACTTTTGTCTCATTAAAAGCCCCTGTAGACTTGGGGCTCTCACCACAGTATACACTTCTGCTGGGCTAGTGCAGACTTGTGCAAGTCAGGTATCTCCTTGGGAAGATGAGGCCTGCTCTGCTGTCAGCCAGCCAGCTATCTACCTTTAAACTCAGGGAAATTGTCTTCTGACAATCACCTTAGAAGTATTTTGAGTCGCTCAATTAACTAGATGGATTTTCTCATCATCAAAGAGAATGGGTTGAGAATTGCTATCTTTTCACTGAAATCAGTGTGGATTTTGATTATTATCAATTAGTTTTTTTATTTATTGTTTGGTGTTGACATCTGGATTCTATTCTCCCATATCGGACTGGCATAATTTTCCATATAAAACTCTTAAATAAGGTTTGAAAGAGAATGGATCTAGCAGAAGTTGTCATTCTCTCTTTCTTTTTTTTTTTTTTTTTTTTTTCTTTTTTAAGCCTACAGCACCCGGTATTCCCAGGCGGTCTCCCATCCAAGTACTAACCAGGCCCGACCCTGCTTAGCTTCTGAGATCAGACGAGATCTGACGCGTTCAGGGTGGTATGGCCGTAGACTCATTCTCTCTTTCTAATATTCAAGTACCAAAAGGCCCAAATAACTTCACAGAGGTCAGAAGTGCCTGGAATTTTTACTTCCATGAAGACAAAGGGACATGCTGGGGCACTGAATTTGGATCGTGCCAAGCCATTGGATCATCACTGGGACTTTTACAGAGCAATTTCTGTTTAAAGAAACATTTGGCAGGCACATTGATAGATCATTTTCGTAACAATCTTTTGAGGACAGTGATTTTTTTTACTCACTTTGTTCCAGATGAGCAAACTGCAGCTATAAAAGAATAATATTTAGATCCTGTCTTTCATATTCAAAGATGACACCAATGATTGAGAAATTTGCCTTATGTTTTGAACTGTTTTTTATTTAGTGGAGTGGTGAGATGATAGGATTAGGCTTAGTCATTCGTGTCATTCATATCATTAACCCTTTTCTTTCATTTTTAAAATATGGAATATGATTTCAAAACAGTTATCTTTATAAAGTTAACCACCGTGAGCCTCGCCTTAACCACTCAACCCTGACCTAGAAAGACAATTTGCTAAAGGTCATAGAGCTTGACAGGAGTAAAGACTATGTGAAGAATTCTCTAGATGTGTATTTAACCCTGTGCTATTTTGTCTACAGCCAGGTTATTCTGCTTACGTTTTTACACTGGTGAGACATTACTTACATTTCATTTGCCTAGCTTCAGCATGATTCGATAGACTTAGAGAGGTTGAGAACCGTAAGGTATTCCACAGCTCCTGATCATACAGTGGCCCTGATTTGTACCTAGTTTAAAAAAAAAAAAAAAAAAAGGCCTACAATAAAATGTGACTTCTCTTGTAACTGGGCCACGGGACATTGCAAGTGTGTGTGTAACACTAAGTTTTTTTTCTTGCCATGGCATATTTCTGGCATCTAGCTTTCATTTGAAAAATTCTTTGCAAGTTTTGGACTCTTTTTTTTTTTTTAACCCTTATTCTCATGGTGAAATCTACTTGTAAAATGTTCACTTTTCGAGTCAATCTGTCTTCTTAACATCTAATATTTAAAATTTACCTGTTTTAACTACTGCTCTCAGAATACCCCTTTAGGCTCCTATCTTTGCTGACGAGTTTGGGTCTAGTAACAGAGAGCAGTTATTGAGCTGGAAAAGTTTTACTTTGGTTTTAGCTTTGTAGATTTAATGATAACTATAGTAAAAAAAATAGAAGATGGTAAAGGATGATATTAAAGTCAGCTTATAGTGTCACTGAGAAATTTAAGATCCAGATGAATGAAGTGACAGATGCATGTCTGTAGCCTCACAGACACTCCTAATACAAGTGGAAAACATAACAGAAGACAACAGATCCTGAGTTACACAAGAAAAACAAATGTTAAGCTCTGAGAAAAGAAGTGGGCCAGACGTGAAGGATCAGGAGTGGGGGTGGGAGGCAGAGCATGTGGGAAAGAAATACCTCTAGTAAAGTGCCAGACAGAGTGGTAAGAAATTTATAGAGGTGTGGATGGTTTGGGGTTTCTTTGGGCATTGATTCTGTTTTATACTGTCTTTACAACCTGCTCACCCTGCTGGCTTTAAATAATTTATTATAGCAGCAGGCCTTCCCCTGGTTAGTTCCTTTTTTTATAGCTTTTCTTCTCATCTCTGAGTCTAATCAGAGGCACATATAATAGTGTGGCTGCTCTCTAGTACTTAGGAAAACCCATGATCAATATCACTACTGTATAGTGTTTTCTTCTTTGTTATATTAACAGTGTGTGTGTTTTAAACAATATTTTATTAATCTGCACAGAGATGCTTTTGGTCTTACTCTTCTTGGCTGGAAGTATCTTTTGAGTGATCCATCATCAGACCACCATTGATCTAATGATGTATTTACTGCTCACTGTTGCTGCACTGGCAGGAAACCCAGTATGGTTCTAAAAATTTGATTAAAAAGAAATCAAGTTTTTGCAAGGTGTAACCATCCAATTATGTTAGGAGCTGCCAAGTATATTTTATGCTAAAATATACACACATATTTCAAATGAGCAAAATGTGCTCTTTTTGAAGGGTTTTAAAACTTTTGCTGTGAAATATATAGAACAAGAAGATGCCTTGTAATTGGAAAAATTG